TTATTATAATTACATTTAATATCATTTAATTCATAAATTAAATTAGAAATCAAATCAATTATCTTACCATTAATTTCAATTTAAGTTTAATTAAATATATTTACTTATTATATAAATTTCATTATTAAAAAATACCCTTCCAATTAAATTAACCTAAATTTCTTGAACAACGTTTCTCAATATCCAAACACAACAATTTTCTCATCACCCAAACACAAAATGAAACAAATTTTTCATACTCCATTTCATATTATACAAGAATTTAAGTAAAATTTACCTATAAAAAATATTAAAATGAAAATTCACAATTAATTCTTAAAATCTGGGTTATTCACCTAGATCTAACTTCCTACCAATCCATATTTCCAACTGAATGTTCTTTTCCTTCATTTCAAATTCTAAACAACATGTAAGATGGAGGAAAGGGGTTGGTTTGAGGAAGAAGAGAAGGGAAGTTTCATGAACACAAACCTAGAAATGGGTTCGTGAACCTAGATTTGGGTTTGTGAACACAAACTTAGATCTAGGTTCGTGAACCCAAAGTTGGGTTCATTCACACAAACCTAGATCTGGGTTCATGAACATGAACCCAAAGAAAAAAGATGAGAGGGGAGAGTAGAAAAAAGCTGAGAAAGGGAAGCAGACACAAAAAAACGAAAAAAATAAATAAAAGGAAAAAGGGAGGAAACGGTTGCTGCAATAATGAAAGAGAGTGGTTGCTGGAATAATGAAGGAGAGGAAGATAATGGAGAATAGTTACTGGAACAATATAGGAGAGGGAGATAGCGAAGGAGAACGGTTGCTAGAATAATGGAGGAGAGGGAGAAGTTAATTGTTGAAGTTGCTAAAAGTTAATCTCACTTTTTGGGGGATTAGGTGCTATAGAGGTATTAGCAACATAGTACTTGTTGTTGAAATTCACTTTCAACATTGCTGTTGAAAGTTCAGGCAACTTTCCCACATTGGAGAATTTCAACAAAATTTCAGCAACAAGAGGCATGTCGCTGAAAGTTGAATTCACTTTTTGCGAAATTGACTACTTTATAAGTATCAATAACATGAGTCTTGTTGGTGAAAATCTATATCACCAACAAGCAATTCTATGTTGTTGATGGTTAGTTGCTAAAAAGAAGAATTTTAGTAGTGTCATGTATTAATGACATTGTTTTTAGTTTACTCATTGGTTAATAGTTAAAAAGAAAAAGAAAAAGTGGAGTATAGTCTATTTTATATAAATTATAGTTTTTATAATTACTAATAGAAAGGTGAGTTCCCTAAATAGCATCATTTAATAATTAATTGAAGATCACATTAATTGCTACATACGATTCATATAGTATATCAATTCATGAAATGTTGTCCATGCATCAATTGTTATAGCTATGTACGACGACCGCAGCATGCACTATTTAATTAAGGGTCCGTTTGCGGCTCCAAGGTCTAGGACTTCGTTATAGTGGGCTGTGGCCTCTCGAGATACATGAAGCTCCTTTCAATGTGGTCCCGATCCATAATGCTCAATAGCACATATGCTGGAAGCAGTAATGGCAAACACACCACATGAGTAAAGGGAAATATATACCTACCTTTTAAATATACATATCCCCACGGTACTGCAATGTTTTGTTTGATAAATTAAGCTGATGTTCTTCCGGTCATTGTGATGTGAAGTGAAACATCAATTAAACGTGTGAGACAAATTAACTTTCAAAGGGAAATATCATGTCTTGAAAGAAATTGATATGGGACTTGCACGTTGGGAGGTGCCTAGGGAGTGAGTAGGCCATGGCCCATGGGGATGCAATGTTGTTGGTCCAAACATCATTTTTTTCTTGAATGAGTACAAATTCAGGAGAGAAAAAATTGTACCTAATACCTAAAATTAGAGGTATACTTTTTCCAGAGGCAATTGGCTTTCAAAGTCAGGTGCATTGGTCCAAACACGTTTTAATTGCTTTATGGATGAGGAAATTTAGGGTTGCTTTAAATTCCAAGCTCATTGGGTTTTCAAATATTTTGCTGTGCATTTCCCAGCCAGTTACTATTACTATTACATTGTGCCATTTGGTCATTTTTATGTTTGATAAAGCCTTGCTTGGTTGTGAAACTATAACACCAGATAAATGTGATCCATGCCATTATTTTTCTTGTAAAGTTCTTTTGCTTTATTTGCAGCCTTGAACACAGGGAGAGATTAAATTTTTTATCGATTATGTTATAATATTGGGTTTTTTTATCTTGTATCTTAAATATATAAATTAAAAGTATATTAATCATATATTTTTATAATTAACTTATATAAAAATAAAAATTAATTTTAAATTTATTAATTATTTAATTAAAATCATTTTTGTAGTATCAATATTAAAAATAATATTTGTTTTTCCCTTTTACTATAAAAATTTATTATAAAAAATTACAATTAATACACTCTTAACTTTTACTTTTAAGATACAAATTAAAAAAATTCTTAATATTAAGCAAAAACTAAATTTAATTAGCCAAAAAATTCACTCTTCTTCCTCTCAAACCATACGGTATTACTGGTTTGCCTCACCTTCTAATAGAAACAACTGTTTTCAACATATCTTTGTTGCATTATCCCACATCAGAGAAAAGAAATTAGCTCGTTGGAACTATAAAAGTTAAAAATTGTCAAAGACCCACATCAGTCGTGAATGAAGATGAATGTTTCGACTCCTAGTATAAGGGTTAACTCCAGTACGGTTATTTACTGTTTTTTTTTTTAGTTATTTATATTTTCTTTTTATAACATTGTTTAAAGCATTTATGATCATTTATAAAAATTCCTTAATTATAGGCTCAATTACAAAAGCAATACAATTCAGTTTGTATTCTGCAATTTAAAATTTTGAACTCAGTGATGCCCCTTAAAAATTATCACAATTTTTTCAATTTTGCTCTTTTTTTATCACTACTTGATTTCTCTTTGAATCTTTACAACGATAAATTCCAGAATTTTGAGAATGTAGGAAGGAGAAGATGGGCAGAAATTCAAAGGAAAAGGAAAGAAAAACGGGGAGAAAGAAAAATTCAGGGGAACTTTCAATATCACATTTCACAATAAATATTACAACAAACTTCTTTAATAAAATACAGTATCTGCTAAATAATTGACTTAAACCACATTTATATTTTGGAGAAAGATTGATGTAAA